GACGCCGTTGTTGTGGTTTGCGGTGAGGCGGCTGTCGGCACGGTTGTGCGATGACCCGCCGCCGACGACATACAGCGCCGCAATCGTCGTCGTCGCAGCCGCCGCCGCCGCCGCCGTCCACCGCGCCGGCCACCGTGCACACGACCATGTTGTTGGTCCTTGTGCTGGTGCTGCAGGCTAGCCCGGCCGCCCCGGCAGCCGGCCGCGTGTCGCGACAAGATGGTCACGTTCGAGGACGAGAAACGGGCGGCGTTCGACCACCACCAGTCGCAGCTGCAGCACCACCGCCTGCAGAACCATCACAACCACAACCAGCCGCAGCCACAGGACCAGCAGCAGAAGCATCACAGGTCCAGCGGCGATTTGATCGTGTAGAGACGACGTCTCTCCGCCCGAGGCGGCGTGTACAGTGAACGCGTTTTTTACACTATTATTATTATTATTATTTACGATATAGATAAATAATTATATTATTAACGTTAATGTAACTATTATAAATATATAATATATATATATAAATATGACATATTATTATTATTATCTACTTAAGATTATTATTAATATTATTATGTGTATAATTGTCGTAAAAAAAAGTTTTGTAAAATTCGCCGTGACGTGTCGCTCATTATATTATTATTGTTAATACACTATATATTATTATGACATGAATATTATTATTATTATTATTGTATGCAAATAAAACGAATGTTCCGTCCGCCTCGGCGTGTGTCGGGTCGCGTTTTAGGATTCCAATAATCGTCATGACGTCACAGCGTCTTTGAGACCGAGTTTACTCGGTACGTTATATAAAGATATCATTTAATATATATACGATTTGCGTGCACAGCATACGAACCCGCATCAACTCGCAATCGCACATTAATCGTAATGTTTGTTTTTTTTTTTTTTAGTTTTAGTTTTTTGTTTTAAGCGCTGACAATAATTTCGGAGTCAGATTTTTTTTTTTTTTTTTTATCGGATTTTCAATAAATATGTAAGCACTTTTACCCATCAGCACTTATATATATATATATATATAAGCCGACGATTAATGAAAAATACAGCGACGTTACGCGTAAACCATGACGCGTGCGATGTTTTGAGGCGGCGGTCCCGGGACTCGATGAACCGTGTAATAAATATAATAATATATTACATATTGTACTATTGTTAAACGCGCATAATATTATTACATAATATATACATGATAACTATGTACGCCGATTGTATTCGGTACCGTTTGGAAATTCATTTGTTCGGATTTCCGTTTGTTTGTTTGTTTTTTTTTTTTTTTAATGTTCCAAAATGTTTATTGATACATTAGTGTTATTGAGAATAATAATAATAATAATAATAATAAAATATATGAATCCAAAGTGTATTCGAAAAGTTGTTTTATCAATTTTATTATTTTGTTTTCTACCATATTCCTCGTCCACGATGAGCACTTATACTTTTTTTCATTTCAAGTTTTCCCCACTACCAGACTACCACATCGATTCATATATTTACGAATTTAATTTACTCATCAAATAAAATGTATCATAGCGGTTAGGGTACACCGTGTTCGAAAAATGAATAAAGTGATTAAACAGTTATCAATTCCTGCAGCGGTGTGAGTTGGGAACCGGCATTGACCCGGGCCGCTCTACCGAGTCAGCATATGAAAAAACACTTTCATAATGAACTGAGAAATTATTGTGTTATCCAAGAACACAAGACAACAACGTCGTATGATTAAGTTCTTGGGACGATGATTCTTGCTACGACCGTTTAAAAGCTGAGTGTTATAAGTTGCTTATTAGTACAAGCTATCCATTGTTCTCGAGATTTACTGAGGGACCTAGAGAATCTAGTAGATCTAAGAACGGTGAGATTTTCCAGGTTCTTCGGTCGTCGGATATTTTTTTAAGTCACAATATGTCTAGTGTTTACGTTTATCACGTGATTGTACTTGATAATATTATGGTCAATATGCATTTACCTTCAATCAGCAAATTTTTGTTCTTCATTATTTATTCAAATGAAACGTCTTTATCAGTATTCATCAATGTCTTATCACTTGGGAGGGATAGAGTGTGTCTAGCAAACTACTACCCTTTTTCTAAGAAGAACATTTTTCACGTGTGTGGACATCGATATCAGTGAAGTTGGCCTCAGTGAGTATACGAAGAAACGGTGGGGTGTGAAGTAGTGTTTTTTTTCATTGTACTGAAGTTTGACACTATTTGACAATTAAAAAATTTAATTGATAATTCCTTTTGTTAATGTAAGTCAAGAGTTAATAAAATTAAGTATAAAATTCTTGTTTTTAACAAAGTATTTTAAAATATTACTAGATTTTGTATTAAAAGCATAAAATATCCACACAAAAATACTCTAGGTCACTGTGCACAATATGGTACGTACAATATATGCGCATAAATCTATTGTTCGATTCAATTTGTATATTTTCGTTTTACTTTACAAAACTACAATGACGTATAGTGCTAGCCGTGGATATTAATATTTTTTATCCAGATTTTCAACGTCCGCAAAATCTAGGTATTGTAAACGGTAGTGAATAGAAAGTAAATCGCCGCAACCGATTGGACGGAACGTGTGTGACCGTCCATGAAATCGAATATAAGAACATACCAATATTGTTATTGCGCACAATAATATGGTATACAAAAACAGGATCCGTGGCAGCAAATGTATTAGAGAGCACCGTAAACCGACAGCATTGAGACAATATTCATTGAGTACGCAATATTAATAGCCGTAATTACTTGAAATATTCAAATGTAATAGTGTAGAAAAATCATTTATTTTAATTTTGAATACAATTATTTAAAAAAAAATGTTAAATTAAATTTATAAAATAAAACACAAGTTAAAATGTTTACGAAATACGATCAAATACAATTACATAGAATACAATAGTATAGTGTTTTGCTACAAAACTTATGATATTGATTAGAAACGATATTATATTCGTACGTTTACAAACCATGTTTACGACTTAAACACTCAATCCGTTGAATTCGGAAGCATAAAAAAAAACTACTCGTCCTTGTACAAAAACGTGATTTCGCATGATTTTTTTATTCATATTGTTCAATTCAAATGTTTTGTTACTGATATAGAGAATATGTATGTGTAACGTGAGAAGCATATCCTAACCGGAATTGTTTTTCAGTGTCTTTTTTCAAATGATAACCTTCTATATTCACTGTAAATTGTCTTTAGTGCCATAAAGTTTAATACCTCAAAAGCTGCTCGCTAGAATTTCGATTTATATGTATATTATTATCAATATTTTTAAAAAAAATAAATAATTGAAAAAGTATTGTAAAAGAGTAGTTTACATTTAAAAAAGAATATGTTTCCCCGAAATCTATTTACCTGCAGTGGTGTAGCCAGGATTTAAAAATAAAGGGGGCAAACCCAAAATTCAATGAATTTTTCATACTTATAAAATAAACAATATAATTTCGTAAAAACTTTGATACGGCTGATGGGAGGGGTGGCACGGCCTACTTTCTCCCATACAGTTTGGATTCTAAACTAATTAATTTATCAAGTTCACAGAAATTAACCGATAGGATTTTTCTGTACTCGAAAAAAGCAATACTGCACTGAAATTGTTCTTGATATTTTAATGCGATAGCAAGAGTGTTATAAGAATTGAAGTAATATTAAAGTAATATTATATAAATAAAATAAAATAAATACTAGCACCACTATGCGTAGTTTTCAAATCATTAGAAAATAAGAAAATCATGTTAGTTAATGGTAAAAATGTAAAATACAACTTAATCATTAAATGACATTGAAACAACAGTTTTCAAAGTTATTACCTAACTTAACCTGTTACTTGATTTATAGTAGGTTACTATTGACTTTATAATAATAATAATACGTTATTACCTAAATTTTATTAAAAAGAATTTCTCAATTTTTATATACCTAACAAATCAATTTTTCCTAAACTTAGTTATTTCCACACTATTGCTAGTGTTCCGTAGTATTTAATTAACTACTGTCTGTAATATGATTGATTTTTATTAAAAATGTCACAGAGTCAGATAAAATCCATTATATTATACTCATTAGTCATTTTCGTACAAAACTAAATTCAAATTTGAATTGCCTAATTAAAAACATGATTTCAACTTGTATACAAGACGACTCTTTTTGCAGGCTTTGGTAAAGATAACTAGAATCGTGATTTATTATCGTAATTCTATGTGAAATATTAATAACGTTCAAAGGGGTTACAAATTGATGATTTCCTTAATCATGCTTTTCAAGTCTAATATCACATCCTAGTACATAGTGATGTGTTGAGCGACCGTCAGGTCGTGAGAGACGTGTTTTTATTTTAAATTCTCGTTTCCTTTGAACCCAATGAGAAACACGCATCTATGTTTACCTTTTGGCTATTACTATGTGCAGAAACTTGCAGGTAGGTCGTAGTAATGTTTATCGTCACTACGTTATTCCCTCTAGAATCCAGCAGTAGTTTATTATACAAAATAATGGATATATAATTTTTTTTTTCTAATCAACCGTCAATTGAACGGTTCATTAAAAATGTCGTAGTTGAGCGGCCCACATTATTCTGGTTGTTGTTTGTGCGTAAATGTATGTGTGTGTGAGTATTCAATTTGTTGCATAGCTGTCGATTGTACTTAGAAAATAAAATAAAATTGTCAACATTCCCAAGGATTTTTGTATCAGCCGTCACTTGTAATATAATATTAAAATATTATATTATTATATTGTGATTAACATCACTGTGCATAATTTGTACACTATTAAAATAACATATGATATTATACACAAGAGTTCACAATAAACATTTCCAATTTTTGTGCTCGCCACCATCATTGAGCGATATCGTAGAACGTAGATAGTTCTAGTGCCCCCGTCGTCTAGACTCAAAAGCAGTATTTCCTAAGAATTTTGTGATAGTTAACTACAAATTTCCTGCTGGTTAGGTACGTAACAACCCATTAAAAAATAAAAAAAATATATTATATGATGATAATGTAGTACTATAAATAATAATTTTTACTTTAAGCAATTTTATCATTGAATTTTAATATGATACAGTTTATTGAATAATGGATAAATAATTCTATTTAATATAAAGGTTATTTTTAAATTAAAATACTTTAGTGAAATGGTAAAATATATTAAGTTTACTTGAAATAAAAATTAAATATAAAAATTACAAAAAAAAATTTCTATATTAAGATATTAAATTAATTGTATAATTGCTATAATTGCTGATTTTAAACTTTATGAGAAGGCCGGTGGTTTTGGATGTAGTTGTATAATATTTTCCACTGAAATACAATTTTAGGTAGCTAATGTGCATATTATAT